ATAAGCTAGATTCTAGAGTATTGCCTCAGTATCAGCAACCATTTTAACTTATAGCCATGCCAATCAGTTGTAAACCTTAGTCTCGGTATTGCCCAGGTAAAATGGAGCAGCAACTGCCTAACTGTGCTTTATTAAGATCAAAGAAGGTAATATATTAATAAGATATCTAGAATCTGTGAAGTTTTATAGAGACTACTATTATTACCATTGCACATCTTAAATTTCTTTAGTAAACTTGCAGTCCACCATACAACCAAGATTTAAAGAATTATGTCATCCTCACTCAAGCTTTCCAATAACAATAAATTATAGTAGCCTAAGAAAGTTGACCATCTGGATTCATATTTATAGAGCTGCTTTCTTGACTGTCATAAGAAAGCATGATTTATTGGAAGGATTATTTGTGGAGATGACATCAATATATTTCTGTATTTTTTGCAGTTTACAGAATCCTCCGGGAGGAAAGGCATTCAGAGTATTTGCTGTTGTGTGAAATGGAACACTTGGAAGAGGATCATAAAGACTATTCCAAATGCCATATTTCCGAAGTTTGTATAAAACTGTAACATTACTGTACAGAAGATGTCAACTATTTTCAGTCCAAAAAAGTGCCAAATGCATATAAATCTTGATAGACAAAGTCTATGGAATAAAACATGGGACATTAGCTTTGGGAAAAGTAATGAAAATGTAATGGTTTTAGAAATCCTGTGTTAAATATTGCTATATTTTCTTAGCAGTTATTTCTACAGTTAATTACATATTCATGATTGTTCTACATTTCATATATTATATGGTGCTTTGTGTATGCCACTAATAAAATGAATCTAAACATTGAATGTGAATGGCCCTCACAAAATGATCTGGTGCATTTAAAAATAGTCAACTCTAAAGCTGAAAGAAACCTTATCATCACATTTTCCCCAGTTCAGTGTTATGGCATTACCTACTCCAAGTAATCTCAAACTATTTTCCACTTAATACCTGTACAGTTTTTTTTTCTGTTAAGTTTAGGCATATAGAATATTAAGTTCTGATATTGCACTTCTTATTTTGTATAAAATAACCCTTTAATATCCAAATGAATCTGTTAACATGTTTGATTCCTTGGGAATGGTCTTACTTAGTCAGAGTTAGTGGTATGAAAACATTCCTGGTGATCGTATAGTAAATATAGGGTTAAGCATGGGCAGCCAGAGCTTTCTATGTATTGTTAAAATTGAGGTCACATATTTCCTTTTGTATCCTGGCAAATACTCCTGCAGGCCAGGAAGTATAATAGCAAAAAATTTAACAAAGATGAGCTAATGTATTACATCACCATTGCCACTGATTTTCTTAATGGTAAATGGCCTTGTGTATAAATGTTGCCATATTATGGTACTTATAGTGGTGATATATTTGTTTCTATGAAAAATGTATTGTGCTTTGAGACTAAAAATCTGTAAAATGTTACTTTTGGTGATGTTTTTTGTCTGCCGGTGAATTTACTCTTTTCCTATAAACATATTAAAATGAATCATGTTTCCAAGTCTTATTTTCAGTTCCCTTTGCATGTTTATTTTAATTTAGAAATCATTTTAAGATAAATGAACCACATTATTATAAGCCTTTGAAACTGAGTTTATTAGCATTAATATAAATAACATATTAATAGCAGAAGTCTGCAAAATCAACCTAATTAGGTATTTGTATGTGAAAGAGAAAACATTATTAGAAGTATTCTAACAAGGGAGAATTTGAGTAGAATGAGAGAGATGAATTTTTAAAGTATAAGGAAAGAATCTGAAAGATATCAAGTGGTTATAAAGGAATTGACAGACAATTAATACTTCAAATATTTTTAGCAAGTAAATGAGTAGGAGTTGAGCGGATAAAAGGGAGATAAATTACATGTTGGCATCAGGAATAGCAAGAGAGCTGGATAATACAAAAGGAAAAAAGAAAGAAGAGAGGGTCTCATATAAATAGACACCAACATTTCATGATCATTTATCAAGGATTGGCAGGAGGTAAGTGGTTCAAAATATTGGTAATCAAAATGTAATGATTTATACATTAAAAAGTTCAAAACCTAAAGCAGATTTTGTGGGATTGTCTTTTCCAAAAGATACATCACCACCTTCGTAAATGGTGTGACTTTACCCAGGCTCATCCTGCAATATCAGGCTGTTCCTTACTGCTGTCCCCTAATAGGGAAGCCCCATCAACCCCATCAGTATGTGGGTTCTCACATTTGCTCGTAGTGTAGATCTCCATCATCACTTTCCTGCACTATTGCAGTGCCAACTGGAGCCTCTGCTTTGTATCCCTCTCCATTTCTTTTCAATGCATCCGTATTTCTTTCCCTCTGTTGGAATTACTCTCTTCCACGAGTTTCCATTGCTTAAGAAAACCAACCC